TAGTTTATTTTTTTAAAATTTTCTTGCTGCGGTATTTTAATTTCAAAAACTCTTTTGGACTACTCTCATAGTCCAACAAAAAATTAACCAAAGAGATAAAATTTAATTGCACTTGCATGAAGTTCTTTTTCTTTTGTACATACATATTCCTCTTAGCAATTCAAAGTTATGTATACCTATAAGATATCTAAAAAAATTAGATTTGTGAATAATGCAAAAATATTCCAATTAGTACATTTTTTTATAAGAATATGAGATCATTATTCTGGAAAATTAATGCTGAAACAAAGTTTATTTATATACGATAAATAATTATACAATGTTGCCATTAATAATTTATATAATCGGTATTGGATGCTCAGAATATATTTTGCGTATATTACACGAATAAAAACAAAGAAAATATAATAAAATAAAGATTCATGCACATAATAATAATAATAATAGTAAAAAACATAATAATAATAATAAATTGCTTATATATGTGTTTATATTTAATGAAATAATTTCCAGAAATGAAATTTTAAATTTTTCTAAAATCATTCTCAATTTTTTTATAATATCAATATTTTTATATAAGTATGTTATAGTTACTGATGTTACCTTGGCGAAAATAAAAATTGGAGTATAAACCAAATGTAAAGGAAGAGTATAACTGAAATTTTTCAACAAAACTTTTAGGAAGCATAAATTAGAACACTTTTTTTACGTTCCGTTCCAATTTACGCTTCATAGGAGGTTTGTTGACATTTCTGTTATCTTCCTTTATATTCAGGCTAAGGCGCTTCCAAACGATATGGCTAACGTATGCAAACATCATACACATACATGACATACGTAATTATCCATATTGAATGTAGATCGATATTTAGCGAATGTATGCGAAGTTGTGGTGTATACCTAACGCTCCGATTTTTATTTTCGCTAGTATAATGATAACAAATAGAACTTACACCAAGACATAGATGCGTCTTTTTAATTGAGAAAATAGATTTAAAAGAAATTTGAAATAAAAAATGAAACAATGATGGCAATAAACAAAAAACTAAACTTATTTATATTCTTCAAAAGTGTTTGGTTTTATTTCGCAAATCCTATTAATATTAAATATATTTTAATTTTATCATTATTTACAGTTATAATATAGCATTATGTAGATCGTAAAATTCATGATAAGGGCCCTTACTGTGTCGTTGTCCGTCACTTTAGCGTGCAACTGTGCACTTTGTTTCTTTTTCTTTCTTACATGGCGAAGAACTTTAAAGCTGCCTCACGCTGTCAAAATATAGTGTTAGTACATAGTGTTAATAATTCATTGAGTTGCCTCTATTAAATATAAGAGTTTTAAGACAGTTCGAAGAGAGAGAAAGAAAGAATAAAATTAATTGAATAGCTAATTGTATTGTATTTTAAATTGTGACAGACAACTAATTGAAAAAGAAAAAGAAAGAAATAAATCCGAGAAAATACGAAGTGCAAAAGTTTCAAGTTAACTTTAACATTAAATATATATAATGTTTAAGAAATTAATTCTCTATTACTTTTCCTCTTTGCTAATTTAAAGCAAATGTATACTCTACTCACTACTGCATAAAGTTTTTTTTCTGTTTTTTTAAATTAAACAGACTTCTATCCAGATAGCACAGAATATTTATGATAAATATTCATGAATATTTATTACTATTTTTTTAAATTATTATATAAGTATGTTATAAGTAAATATACAAGTAAATTATTATATAAGCTTTATTGGAAGTATTATTAAAATATACAGGCTAAATGTTTTTTATAGTATTTATGATAAATATAAATAAATATTTTTTATAATAATTTTGTAAATATTTCTAAAATGTATTTGCTGAAAATGTCATCTATTTCACGGAGTGTAAATCAACATCCTATTTTACATAGTAATAAAGCAAATACTGTTTTGCAACTAGAAGTTTTCTTCGCCAAAATAGAACTATTTTAGATCATTTACAAAAGAAATATATTTGAACTATATGTTCCATCTTTTTGATAACACCTTTATTGATCAAATATCCCTCTCCTTAACATTCCGTCTTCATGGATCATCGAAATAGCGGCTTCCGTATTAAAGATCTAGTGGCTAATTTTTTATTAAATATTTTCATAATATTTATGATAAATATTTCATAATATAAATGAATAGTGATAAATCTTTATAATCTATGTAATCTAAAACCAAAAAAATATTTGCAAAATATTTTGATAAATGTTTCGTAAATATTCAAATAAAACTTATAAATATTTTGTAAGTATTTTATAAATATTGTTTATTCTAAAACAGGCATTCATATATCTTGTTTATTTTTCGTATTACACATTCATCATAGTTTCTTTTAAATTATATTTTAAACATGATGCTTTTTAGTATGAATAATATTTTTTTCATTTTTTCTGACATTTCTTTGTCGGAAGAATCTTATTTTACTGCATACTTAATGAAATACGTTTTTATCTTTTTTTTTACCAAAATTCGACTTATTTTTCAATATACTCTTCTTTTAAAAAGTTACTAACTTTATTAAACTGCTCTCATATATTTGTAATAATTATAACACAAAGTACGAGAAAAAAAAACACTAATATTTTAGAATCACGAAATCTGTATATTATTTTTCCCATTTGTGTGTTTTATAGTTTTAAGTATAAAATAGTTTAATCTCGTGTGTTGTTTCTAAAGCAATTTTCTTTACTCCTAATTTTACTGCCTACAAATATTTTTTCGATACAATTGCGCATGTATATGTAATGTGTTTAAAAGAGGAATATTTATTTTAACAAATTATATATTTTACAGAAAAAAAATCCTAAAACAAGTATTAAAGAACTGGAAGTTTATAAGACGTTCAAGTAAAAGATGTTGACAGTTCATAAAGATTATTGCTAATTGTACCATTGCACGAACATCTTGTAAACTCAATTTATTACAATTATCTATAAACGAGCCAATTACTATTTATTTTATCAAATCACTATTTTATCATGACAAAAACTAATCGTCAAATTATATCTTTAACATGTTACTTATGTAATATGTTAAAGATATATTATATAAAGTTTTCCTTAAGAGAGCAGGAGCACAGAGTCTTACATAACGTACAGTGCATAAGAAAATGCGTAAGAAAATGAACCAATCAAAGTCCTTCATTTTCTCCCTTTCTATAAAATAAAAGACTGATTGGTTGATTTTCTTATACTTTATGCATTATGCGTTATGCAAAGATCTGTGCTCCGGCCTTAAAACGCAATTCTTATGGTGCAGCCACAATAGAAGGAACAAGAAATCAAGAATAAGGAATAACGATTTCAACCTATCAGAAACCGGGTATTCCGGTGTATCCGATTTCTGATATTGAAATCTTTATTTTTTTTTATTCCTAATTCCTTATTCCTCTTATTGTGGCTGTATCTTAAATTCGAGCCGGTCCTATCTCTGCTTATTTTTTTTAGTCAATTAATTATAAGAATTCTGCAAAGCTGAAAACTAATTATCTCTATATATATCCTGATTTCTTAATTATTTTAATTAAACTTAATTATATTAATTAAAAAGTTATTACATTTTACAAAAATAATACTAAATTATAATACTAAATAAAAAAGCAAATTATAATTTAGTATAATGCAAGGAAAATAAAATAATACGATTAGTTAATTTTAAGTTTTGCAATTAGCAATTTTTTAATTTGACACTGTCCGATAATGAATATCGTTTTCCGATAAGAGAAGCAGTATAACATCATTTCATTTTTTGTTCCATATTGACAAACGAGTGCTGCGGTTCGATTCGTGCTCACTTTGACTTTGAAATCATTTTATCCTTGTTTATCATAGTTAAACAAAGATAAATAATGCCCACGAGCGTAATGAGCGTGAATCGACCCGCGGTTAAGAATGTGATGATTAATTACAATTCATTGTACGATACTTGTATCATCTGTGTTTTTTGCTGAAAGAGAGAGGTACAAAGTACCCAAAGTTAACCGGAAATGGTTAAGACTGAATTACAGGACCTCGTTGAACCTCGTCGGCGTGGTGCAGCCTTAAAGTTCACCGCGCAGCTGGAAATCCGCACATTCGGGAGAGGGGAGAGGTAAGTCAGGCTATGCATCGTAGAGAGGGGTGGCGGCAGTGCGGGCGGGAGGGGGGTGGGAAATCGTCTCTCGGCTTTGTCGCTTCGTGAACACCCGTATATTTGAATAACATCGGCCGACGTCACTTGGAGTGCCGTTTGCGGGTCGGTGGCGCGCGTCTGTCCGAGCAGTGACTGATAAGTAGTCTTCGCCGGAGAGTGGACCTTTTTGCTCGAGTTCGCGACTTAAGCGGGTGTGCATGGTGGTTACAAGAAGATCGTCGACAATGTCTGTGATTTCTTGATATATCGGAAAATTCAGTAGTTTTCCACGGGCGGAGGACACGGTGGGCGACATTCGGGGGCCGTCATTTCGGAGTATACCTCGACGAGCTTTGTTGAGCCGGAGACGCGGTGCCTCGGCGATAGTCATTTATAGGAGGTACCTGCGTCCGTCCGTCTGTCCGCTCGCCTGCACGTGCTAACCGCCACGAGTACTATCTATACGTTAAAACGCCGGTCGACCGATCTCTCATTACTACATTTACGTTGATTACGTTATCGTGACAGAGTGAACATAAACCGCGCACGGTTGCGTTTCACAACGCTCTATATAAACATCTATGTGCAAATAATCCTGCCCGGGATATCTTGTTTGTTTACGATAATTCATCGTTCGTTTTCTTTCTTATTTTAGGATTTAAATGCGATCGTCGCTCAATCGATCGCCGTATGCGCGCGAATAAGAAATCAGCGGGCGTGCAGAGAAGAGCGGCGAAGAATCGTGACGACCCGACTGACCGACCGACGCGATAACACTTGACTGATAAAGCGAGAAAGAAAAGATATTGCAGCTGTGATTTCGGATTGGGGTGATATATATATATATATATTTTTTTTTTTTCTCTAACAATAAGTCATAGTCTCGGAACTTGTTCCCCGAACAAATGGTGGAACGCAAGCATTGGCCCATGGAGGACAGCGTGCAAGGAACCTCGAGCGCCGTCCTCGAGGAGATCTTCTACGTGACGTCGAAACGGAACACGTATTACAAGGTGAAGCTGACGGAGAAGGGTCTGAGCTTGCAAAAGGAGCACAACGGCGCGACGAAGATCGAGACGATCGCCTTAGGTGACATCATCGGTTGCAGATGCATGCGGTCGAAGCGCAGGAACGCGGGCAGCTGCGCCTGCCGACCGGGCGCGTCCAAGTCGCAGATGAAGCTAGTGGAGTCGGCCGAGCTCTACCAGCAGTGCGACGAGCTCGACACGTCGGCGTACCTCTACATATACGCGTACACGTTGAAGAAGACGCGCATGAAGGTCACGCTCAGGCGCGAACGTACGACGATTACTCTGCGCTTCCGCAGCTTCGACAAGTACGAGGATAATCTGCGGGAGGCCAGCAGGTGGCGATTGGCGATCAAGTGCCTGGTCGCTAACGTGCCGGTGCCGAAAAACCTTATGAGTCCCAGCCACGGCAACTTGGAGACGTTGGTCGGGGGTGAGTTAGGACCATCTCGATTATTGTTTTCACTGGAGATTCTCTGATCATTCATCGACTGGACACAAAGCAAAAATAAAGCATTGATTAACTACGTATATTTTATACGATTCTGTATTCTATACGTTAAGCCGTAATCATATTAGCGATCGCCGATTGTGATTCACGATTACGTTTCAACCAATCAGCGTAAAACGATCGGTGGCTGCTTTATTTTGATTGATTGAAATGTTAGCGCTAATCGTAATCCAATTGATAATAAGATTATGGCTCTAGATAAATAAAATTGTCGACACGAGTGATAAAATATTCTGCCGATGATAATATCTGTTTTTTCTAGGTCAATGTCTGTCTTTTTCTTTGTAAATTGACCTTTCATAGAGTCGGTATATAACAACAATAACTGCATCCGATGGTACATCCGGCTGCGCGTCTAAAAGGTGTAAATAGATTAAACAGATATTAATCTATTATATTATTGAGCAAATTTGATTTACGAAATCAGATTGTAAACAGCAATTAGATGATTGTTGCAAAATATTATTTTATTGTCTATCAGATGATATCTGTTAATTTTTTTTTCTAATTTTGTAACGGCTGTTTTATTTATCGAACATTTTAACTTGACGAAACATTTTACAGAATGATAAGCATGCAATGACTTATACCAAGTATGTACATTTAATTCTGATATTTATGGGATTATATACTACTCGCACTTTATGGAATTATATACTACTCGAACGTATGTAGGATAATCGAATCTATATCAGGAAATTAGTGTTATCTATATAGTTACCCATATAGTTATCTATGTTACGAAACTTCGATAGTCTCGAAGCTTATGAATTATGTTTATTACTCATAGTTCGTTCTTATTTCAAAATCGTTCCAAGTTATGTTTTAAAATGCTAATACAATTCTGTAATTGGTTTAAAAAATCGAAAGGTTACACTGAGAAAAAAAAGTTGTTTATTTAACTTACGTGCATTTATGTGCTATTGTTTTATAAGTATAACATAAAAACGAACAATCGTAGCCATATAAATCGAATATTCATAGTTGATTCTTACATTTACACAGTAAAAAATCGTGCATCCATATGTAGAATTTTTCTTGTGTTACCACATTTTGATTATTACTTCAATGTAAAATCAACATACAACCGATATGTTATTATTTTTGTAATATTTTGATGTGTTAGATTCATGTCACCTTTCTAACTTAACAATTGCGTATGTCAATTAAAAATGGAATATTATTTTGAGTGTTTTTAACACAATTGTTTCAATTAATCTATATATCTCAAAGTAAATTTAACGTCTAAGAATTTTTTCATTCACATTGTACGAATAAAAATGTTTTATTAACATTTTCTTACGATTTACTGCAACTACTCTTCTATGTACTCTACTTATTTTATATGTTAGTTTTAAATCATCCCTAAAGTCGAAATAACAAATATAAATGTAAAGTATTGTGTCAATTATTTAACATTACTAGTTCGTTAATAAATAACACAAGACGAATGAGTTACTTTAACTTAAAATTTAGAGTGGATCTCCTGGGACATGTAAAAAATGTTAAAATTAACATTTTCTTTTTTACTGTGTAAGATTGTAAATACATACCGAGAAAAAAAATTATTTGCTTGACTAAATTAATTTTACTTTGTCTTTATTTCTTTTAAGAATATACACACATATTTAAAACAAATATATTATATTTAACTTAAAACATATACATTCTCTATAATGAAAGAAATAAGGACGAACTAAATTAATTTAATCAATAAATCATTTTTTTCTCGGTATGTATTTAAGATGATTTTAAATGTAAAAACCGACTATTAATATCCGACCTACGATTATTCGTTTTTGTGTTATGTCATAAAATAATAGCATGTATGCACACATAGGTCATTATCTTCTTCTTATGATTGCTTTAAAATTATATGTCTCATTCAGACTTGCGCATTTCTAATAATCGGAATAGGCACGACTGTGATACAGCGTGTTTCCTTATTAATGGTAAGCCACCCAGATAGAACAAGAAGAATTCAGTCGTATTGTCATCACACAATTTCGAATTTATTTTCAGATGGAAAAATAATTCTTTTCAGAATTTTTTGTTTAGAAAAAAAATTCTTTTTGTGTTTGAAAATGAATTCTAAATTGAGAGAGAGAGAGAGGGGGGGGGAGAGAGAGAGAGAAAGAAGAGAGAGATGACATAACAACTGAATTCTTTTTAAATTCTTTTTGAACTCTCTGTATTATGTGGGCAGATATGAAGAAAGATGATTCTATTACTAGAGTTCTAAAGATATTTAGTGGAAAAGTAAATAAAAATAATATAAAATTTTTTTAAATCCATGTCAAGAAGCCGAAAAATTACAATTTGTTTTCATTGTTTTGCATAATTTTAGTTATAAAGCTATAATTTTTTTCTTTTTTATTAGCTTTCTTTTATTACTCACTCAGAGGCGTGTTCTGATTTCCACCCGAGTGTTCCTTAACGTTCGGTAAACAAGGATGATATGACATCCGGGGAACACCCAGGTAGAATTTCAAACATGCCCCATAGACAGTGGCGTAG